ACTCCGGGCGCGTGAGGGGCGTCACGTCAGCGGTGTATCCATGATGAGCACGGGTTCAACCGCCGCTCGCCGGTGCGGTGCGGCCGAGACAGGTCAGGTGCCTCAAGGCCACTGATCCGGTCAGTTTGTTGCGACGTTGGTCTCGGGTCGTCCGTATGTGCTTCCCCCTATGCCTTGTCCTGTGTGTGAACTGCACGTGCGATCCGCTAGGGGAGGGGGGGGGGGCAGAGCGCAGCGGGGACACTGCTCCTGGTCACCGGCCGCCGCCCGCCTCTGCCACCTGCACCGGCCTTATGTAAGACGCTGTCGCGTCGCCGTGTTGGCCTGGCGACGCCCTGCACTCGCTCTGGCCCTGCAGCGCCCTGCGGCTTGTCCGGAGGAGGAGGAGGTGGGGGGCAGGCTCGGGGCCAGGCAGCCAGGCCCTTGGACAGCGATGACTCGCTCGGTGCCCCCCTTTATGGGCCTCAACAGCTCGCTGGTATAAACAGAAACGCGTACGACCCCCAGGACGTCGTTCCGCTTCTCATCAGGCTGGCCGTCAACCCACTCGGGTGTGTGGACAAACCAGAAGGGGACAAACATACCCTTCGCTCCTTGCCCCGCGCTTGTCTCCTTGAATCCACCCTGAAGAAACAAACAAAACCTGCAGGTTGCAGGAGGGTGGTGGTGTTGCAGGAGGCGCGTGTCCATCCTCCCCCGCCCGCGTGTCCCTTCGTTCCTGCGCCGTCCTTGACCTAGGCGACGCTGCCCTCCTCTCTCTCTCCAGGAGGAGCAGCCGTGCGATTCCGGAGATCGTTCAAGAGGGGCTCTCCTATACCTGCCCTATGAGTGCAACAAGGACGGAGCTATACGGGAGGAATAGGAGAGCCTCTCTTGAACGATCTCCGGAATCGCACGGCGGGAGGCGCGCGAGGCGCGCGGCAGCCAGCGGTGGTGTGGCCGCGGGGCGGGGCGCCGGCGAAAGTGTGACTGGAGTGGTCGAAGACGTCGGTGAGAAGGGAAGGGAGGGGAGGAGGAGAGGGGAGGGCGCGTCGCGTCGCGCCTCGCCTGACATTGACCTCCGCGGCGGTCATGTAGGACGCCGGTGCCTCGCCCCGCACGCTACGAGCGGCGACAAACATGCTCAACATGTCTCTGCCCTCTGCCTTGGTTCATTGAGAACATTGCTTGCTACAATATGTCGTTCCAGTTGTATGCCAATAAGTAGAAATAGCTTCGTGTAAGTAAGCTTGCGCTGCGCCCGCCGGGGGGGGGGGGGGGGCTGCTAGGCGCTGCTCGGAGCTGCGCTGCGGTGGCCAACTCGGCGTGAAGCTCAGGTGACACTCCGGCCTGGCGGTCTGCGAGACAAGTGCCTCCTTGCCTGCGCGCGCTTCGCCATAGCGTCAGTCGAGCCTGCCTAGCCTCGCGTCGGGTTCCTCTATGATCTTCGCGCGCCTTAGAGCCTCGCGCCGACCTCAACACCGTGTTCTTTTGCACGAATCGCCCCCCCCCCCGCCCCCTTCTCCTATGGCCCGGCTCGGCGGGGCCCGGCTCTAGGCCCGACCCCCCGAAACCAAGCTGTTATGCAATCGTTCGCGCCTGCTTGGCCCCCTCTGCCCCCCTCCCGAAGAGGCGGCGTGGCATGAGCAGAGGGGGCCCCAAGGACTCGTGGCCTGCCTGGCTCAAAAACGTCACTTGTCGGCCCGAAAATGTTGGCTTCCAGCGCGTGAGAACCATTCAGAACCTCTCTTCTCCTCTCCTCTCTCCTCTTGCCGGGGCCGGGGCCGGCCCGGGCGCTAAGGTCGCCGCCTGCCGCCTCGTGCTGACTCACGGCTGCTCCGCAGGACGCGTGTCGGCACGTGTGTGGACCGGCGG